AAAGTAATGTTATTCTTTACATAATTAAGTAAATACAGTGTAGGAGAAAATTCATTCAGCCATTCTTCATGTAGGAAAATTTGTCTGTTAGAAGATGTTTTAAAATAATAAAGAGAAAAATAGAAGGAATTGGCCCAAGAGGTCCTTAGCCAATAACTGTACCTATCTGTACATACTACTTGAAAGAGGGCAAACTTCCTTATACTTTAGATATACATGTGCTGCAACTAAATCATCACAGATCATAAATCTCTATAAAATAAATTTTTAATTAAGCCAAGGCAAATATTGTTTAAAGTGACTATCCTATGTCAGTCTGATATTCTACCTGAAATGAATTCTGTCATGAAGCATAAAATTTAAGCATTGATAGTGGATTACTTCAGAATTATAAGGTAATACTGCTCTTTGCGTATTGTTTCCTTTTTCTTGATTTTTTATTCATTCTGTTCTTTACTCCTCCTTTCACATTCTTTTTTAATTCGTAATACCTACAATATAATTGCAACCCATGGTTCTCAAGGATTCCAACTCTCAACCAAGTACTCATGCAACTGAATGAGCCTGTTGTAAGCCTAAAAAGGACAGTGAACTGAGATGACTAGAAGCAATTATCTCTATGTCCCCCCTTTCCACTGTTCATGGGAAATGCTCTTGTTAGAAAAATATTCTTCCTTCCAATTATTATAACCTAAACTTTAATGATAAGGGTAAGAGCTTTTTAAAATGTACTGCACTGATCATCTGTGATCTTAACAATTTACCACCAAACATTACTTAACAATGAAAATAATAAAAATAAAAAGAGCAATTATTTGCTTAAGGTACCTCAGCAGATTGGTAACCAAATCAAGGACTAAAGCTTTGTTCTTCTGATTATAAATTCAACCTTCTTTTTAGAACTTAATTGACATTTTGTGAACCTGATCAAACATGTAGTTTGAACAAGTCTCTACACTTTAATTCAGTTTTGGTATAAATGATACTTGGTTATGTCATAAAGAGGTGGCTTTTTCTGTTATTTTAAAGATCTATTGAGTGTTGTTTGTTTTATTCCCTTTTTTCTATATTTTATTATATTGTGAACTCCTCATCCATACAGACACATGCAGTGTTGAAGGTATTGAAATAAATGAGGATTCTGCCCTGAAAGACCTTAACTTCTAGAAAAGTTTGCAGTCTTAATTTGATTCTGCTGCTTGTGTTAGGAAATAGACAAGTTTCATATTGCTATGACCTTTTCAGTGCTTAAAACAAATGGAATTGTTCTTTTCACCACAAATTTCAACAAAGTTGTATGTCCCCACTCTCAACCTTGAAACACCCTTCTTACTGTGAATCCCCAAAGATTTCTGAGACAGAGATACAAAAGCAAAATTGTGTAGAAGGAAAATGGTGAACACTCAGGAAAAAAAAAAGAAGTAAATCAATTGGAGCTCAGCAGTCATTCACAGTCAATACACACGAGTCATCGTACTCATTCATTAGAAGGTAGATGATTTGTCTGTACATTCTCTGTAGTCATCCCTAGCACCAAATGTTTTGCTATTCCTACCTTACTGAATAAATACTCTTTGCTTAGCTTTATTTATAAGTCTAGCATTTTCTGCTCAACACTTAGTGAACAAGTAATCTCTATCATTATCCTGCACTTGCCTGGCTTGTTCCTTATGATGGGAATGATTAGCATCATAATCCATGTTTTTTTAAATGTATTTTGAAATAGATATGCCTATGTTGTGTACCAAAGAAGAAACAACACCCAATTAGATCACAGAAATGGGTTCAAAATCATTGGTTCATAGTGAATTCATACCATTTTGTGGCCTAACATTAAACCTTAGAAAGACTAGATTCAAGTTTAAAATGGCAATTTAGAGAAGAGAGCAAAAGAGTGAAATTGTAGTTTTCTTCCATTTGTGTTGCAATCATGAGTAAATGATTGAAGGTTTTGTTTTAAAAATCTGTAGCCATTTACTAATTGTGAGTCTGAAAACTGCCTTTGAAACTTTATCTTAAAATAACTTATTTGCCTGCAATAAAATGTCTGACTTATTTACGTTTTAACTAAACATAACTTAGTTTTGAACTTCTAACAAGGCTGTGAACAAGGCAGTGTGTTATATGCAAATTGGAAAGTCTTATCTTCTAAATAAACAAAACAATTTACATTGCCTTAGAGCTGCTGCCAGAGTTTAAAAGTGAACAATCCTGCCTTAAAAGCTGACACTCTACTGCTCACTCCAAGGATCTGTTGATTTCCCTTTTTCATGTCCTTGTAAGGCTTTAGATTTCATTGGTTATCTAGAAAATGGGAATACTTCTGACATAATAGCTCATACTACATAACAATTATGCTTTATTCATAGATATTGTACATGTAATTACTGTACAACTAGCCAAAATTCTTTATGTAGTTCTCCATTTTTAACTGTAACTCTAAAGAAATATACTTCACATAAGCAAAATTGTCTTCAAATAAAATACTAAAAAACAGTTTTCATTGTTCCATAAATCTAATCATGGTTTTGCTCATTATACTTCACAAAGTATTTTCAAATACCTTATGCCATTAATGCCTACAAAACCTCTTTGAGAAAAACAGGATAGTATTTGCCATTATTATACACACAGACGGAGTTCTAGAGTTCCAGTTATTTTTTTACCTGTGTTCATAGTGAAGTTGAGATTCAACCTTGGTATTTTTACTCAGCTTAGTATTCAAAGGTGAAGTTAATCTTTAGTAATGTGTCCTTTGTGAATTAAAATATTTGCAGTATATTCACTAGCTTCAAAATACAGTGTCATTATGTAAACTCAAGTCTTTTCAAGGTCTTTCCATTTTAAGCTTCATCTGAGTCTATTTTAACTGAAAAGGTCTACTTCAACAAGCATCGGGTATGTCCTACATACATTAGAAATTGTGCTAGGAATAATTATTCATGCCAGCTCTCAGATATGAAACAAGCTCTATCAGAATCAACAGGGGAACTGAAAAAAAAAAAAAAAAAAAAAAAAAAACCAGCAATTCCAGGCTAACTTCTGAATGAAGACGTTCGAATTCTAGGTTAGATCACGGGGATATGTGTAGTAACTAATTTCAGATTATCTCATTAAGAGCAAATGTTGCATAAACTAAAATACATTTTAAAAGAAGATAGAAAAGAAGAAAATCTAGGTTATAAACACTGTGGAAGGACAAAGCATATTTAGGTTTGAATCACTGATGATTATCATTAAATGTGTGATTTGGAAAAGAATGGAGGAGAGTTGTGATTAATTTCTACAGTATAGTTTATCTCTGGTGTTTATTTATAATACATGTCATAAGCCATATAACAGAAAACTTACTCCCAAAAAGGTTTATTAAATTTTGGAAATATAGAGTATATGACATGATGGATCTTAAGTGCTTAGCCACGGAAGGCATTAATATTAGTTTGCTAGGGGCACCATAACTAAATACCACTGACTGGATATCTTAAACAATGGAAATTAATGTTCACAAAGCTCTGAAGGCTAGAAGTCCAAAACCAATGTGCCAGCAAGACTGGTTACTTCTGAGGCCTCTCCTTGACTTGCAGACGGCCACCCTCTTTGAGCCTCTTCATACGGAAGTCCCACTGTATTTGTGCACATCTGGGGTCTTTTGTGTGTCCAAATTTCCTCTTCTTTAATAGGCACCAGTCAGATTGCATTAAGGCCCACCATATGGTTTCATTTTAACTTAATTACCTTTTCAAAGGACCCATCTCCAAACAAAGTCACAATGTAAGTGACTGAGAGTTAGGATTCAACATATAAATTTTGAGGAACACATTACAGCCCCTAACAACTTTTAATAAATTTTAGTTGCTCTGTGTTTTGTCTGATTCTCTACTTACTTTTTTATGTAACTTACTGGTTTCAGACAACCCCTGTATCTGTTAGGTTTCATTTCTTGCTGAAAGGTTATTTGCTGTATAGTAAAGCTAATAATCTGAAAGCTTGTTATTGGAGATGGTTTGTATATTGGGGCTTCTAGATAAGCATTTACATAAAGAGGAAGGCAGGAGAATTTGGTGTTTTTACCTTGAAGAGTGAGTAGGGTGGGAATTTCTCACAGGTTGCCCAACTAAAAATGGATGCCCTTTCAGAGTTGGATTGAATGCTATTCAGATCTATCACATGCACAACTGCCTGTTGGAACTATACCTAGGTATGGACCTAGATTTCTGTGATTGTATCAGAATCTGATTTATTTTTACTTTTTATGTATTCTAGAAAATAAACTAATAAGTATTTTAAGCTGCTATTTTAAAATTTTACTTTCTTTTCCCTCTGGAAAGAACATTCATGCTTTATTATTTGTGTGTCTTTCTTTTCTTTGAGCGTTCATATTTTTCAAGCATATATATATCTATGCTACTTGCTATCAACTTTAGTGATTAAAAAAAGAAATGTTCTCACTGTTTGTTTAAATTTTTCTCATTGAGAATTCTACCACAAAAACAAACAAAAGAAACAATTCAGGAAATATTAACAGGTTTTTTTAGGTTAATGTTATTTATGGTTATACATTTCCTGCTAAATTTTTATCAACTTTCCATAATTGGTTCTGCTGTCAGACCCTTCAACCCTTTTAAGCCATTTGTAAGACATTTTTAAAACACGCTGTGTGGAAGAAATCCAATAAAGATAGACCCGTCTGCCAACTTGACAGTCATTCTTTAGAAATGCCTTTGGAAAGTACCATCCATTTTTCTTCATCTTTCCCCATCGAAAAATGGGCTAAAGTAATTACTACTGCGGTGTTAAGTCATACTTTCATTTCATTCAGGGAACTTTTCAATTAAATTTTACAAAGGAAAATTGTATTTTTATCATGAAGAATTAACAGATATTTTAATAGCCAGCACATTTCTTTTCCATTACTTAAGTTAACTAGTGAGTATGAAAGTTAAAATTTCTACCAGATTTTCAATTGCTCTTGTTTTGGTCCAATATGTTGGTTTTCGCAGGGATGAAGAACCAGGAGGCCAGCTGGTTACAGATAAGTTCCATATTGACTGGGATTCTGTACTCACTGACACGGATAATGTCATTGTAGCAAGATTTGATGGCAGAGGAAGTGGATTCCAGGGTCTGAAAATTTTGCAGGAGATTCATCGAAGATTAGGTTCAGTAGAAGTAAAGGACCAAGTAACAGCTGTGAAGTAAGTGTGTGTACATTTCTCTGTTTTCTATAATGACAGACTCTAGGTATACTTCATACAATATAACTAACACATATAATATTCCTAACCCTGATACAAAGTTTCTATTTTAGTGATTCACCAATTTTGTAAGTTAATCATAAAGCCTATTGCATTTTTTTCAAATACCTGTCACCCTTAGTGCTATAATAAAATAATTCTCATATTTCTCCTCTGGAATTAAAGTTCACTTTGGATTTATGAAAGTGGGCTATAGTATAATTATACCACTATATTATTTATTTACAATAATCCACAATGTCTGTTATATCCTCAGTTAATCACAATTCTTGAAGTTTCACAGATACCATTACCACACTGGCATGAAAGTGTGACCTTAGAAAGTTAGTATGTTCTTTAAAACAGCACACAGAAACCAAATATTATATTGTTCAAACGTACGTGTTGACTCAGTAGGCCTGGAATGAGGCCCGAGCTTCTGCATTTATAACAAGCTTTCAGGTGATACCAAACTACTAGACCATCACTTTGAGTAGCAAGATATTGGAGTATAAGACCCTTGCACATGAATATAGCTACAGTCAGTAAAGCATTTCTAGTCATTAGCTATTGTTTTGTTTGTATGCATGCCAAGTACAAATTTACATGTGCATTTAACTCACAAAGATATAACTATTGTTTTTCTTTTTCATTGCAGATTTTTACTGAAAGAACCATACATTGACTCCAAAAGATTAAGCATTTTTGGAAAGGTAAATAGTAGAAATGCTGAATCTACCTTTCAATCTATATCTGTGTGTCTATCTGTCCATCCTATTACACATTCACAACCAGCTGGTTACAGATAAGTTCCATATTGACTGGGATTCCGTACTTAGTAACATAGAAAACATCACTACAGCAAAGTTTGATGACAAAAGAAGTGGATTCCAGGGTCTGAAACGTATATATATATATGTGTGTGTGTGTATATATGTATGTATACATACATAAGTGTATTGTTTGTGTGTTTGTATGTATACATATATAATTACATGCTTCATTACGATTCTTCTGTGTTATCCTTTAAAAATGTTATAGCATAATTAGCATTAAGTGTAGTCAGTCATTTATTAATTTAGTAAATATTTATTGGGCAGTTAGTGGGCACCTGGTGTTAGAAATAGAGCAACAACAGGACAAAAGGGGGCTATGTTTTCATGAAGCTTATTATGTTCCAGAGAGGGGAAACAGTAAATGAAAAACACAGTTTCATATAGTAATAAGCCTCATAAGGAAAACAAAGAAAAACATATATAAAATGTAACTGCAGAAACGGCCAGTGCCATTTGGTTGAGTGGTCAGTTTAGGCCTCTCTGATGAGATTATATTTAAGCCAATACCTAAATAACAAATGGAAGCTGATCAAACAAATCTCTTGAAGCACAATATTCTCCATAGAAAAAAACTAGCAAGTATAGCAATCTTAGGAAAACAGATAACAGGCTTAGAAGCTGAGAGATGACCAGTGTGGATAATTATGTCTTCTGTGCTCTCTGCAAGATATTTACTTATTGCAGTAACTTTTATGTCAGATTCACTATCATTTTGACAGTGGGAAAATAGACCTCATATAGATATTTACTGAGCTAGTTTTCAGTACATCAGTGGACAATATATTATAAAGGTAAAAACATGAAAAAAAGGGGGAGACCTTGAACTATTTTAGTTTAGAAATAAAGCAAATTCCTGGTGTTCAGGGTTTTAAATATATTATATTTTCTGCTATTCATAAGTAACCTAGAGATCCATGATATAAAATAACTGGTAACTTTAATTGGGGCATAAATTTTAGTGGTACACAATGACAGGTGGGCAAATAGAAAAACACTTAACAAATGAGCAAAATATAAATCGGTGCAAATCACCATCATCCTCTCTCCACTTCAGACATCTGCAGTGTAACATGCCTTTACAGGATTCTATGCTTATTGTCAGTAATAGTCAACAGATAAGTAGAAATATTTTGTGAACATTGCTCCTCCAACATAAATACAAACAAGTAAATAACTGAAAGTGCATCCCTAGTAGTAAAGATTAAAAAAAAAAAAACCTCTAAGAAAGTGATTATTCCAAAGAAATAGAAACCCTAGATATATTAAAAAGGAATACAAAAATCCGGGCTCATATTACAGCACTGTTAAGCCTTAGGGACATTGTAGTAGGTGAAGATAGTCACAGAAGGACAAATACTGTGTAACTCTACTTACTACATGAGATAGCTAGAGTGGTTAAGTTCATGAAAACGGAGAATGAAATGACAGTTTCTAGGGTTTGAGGGGAGAGAAAAAAGGGAAGTTATTTTTTAATGGATATATAGTTTCATATTTGCAAGATGAAAAAGTTCTGGACATTTGTTTCACAGAAACAAATATATACCTGACACTACAAAACTGTGTGTTTAAAAGTGGTTAATAGGGTAAATTTTATATGTTTTTACCACATACAAAAAAAATACATGCAGTAGGGAACATTTTACTCCCTAACAGTCCTGAGATATGTAATAATTTACAAGTGGTTTAGGGCTTATATATTTCAGGGCTCTTCTTACTGCACACATAAATAAGCATAAAGGACCAAATAAGCTTTTACAAAGATTCAAAGGGTTGCTAAATGCCTCATGGAAAAGAGCAGCATGAGCTGGGTGGCGATCAGCAGGTAGAGGAGAAGGAAAAGAGGCTCATGCAAATGTGCAGTGTTGGTAAGGGGAGTATGTGTGAAAACATGAAATGAAGTAGTTGGCTGTATTAGAAGAATGATAGGCAATAAGAATGAGAGGAAGACTGGGCAGAGATGATAGAGGATCTTCCATAGCCGCTGTGAAATTAGAAGCTGAGCCTAGAAACCATGGGAAAATAACACTCTAGGCCTCAAATTTAGAAGTTCAAAATCTTTTTCCCCCAATTATTATTGTATAGTTGATGTGCCTCAGGCAAATGACTCTGGAAAACTAAAAGAGTGACATAGTATAAAAACAAGTGAAAATATGAATGACTTCATCTTAAATAGAAAAAAAAATTCCAGGTCAGTCAAACAAATATGCGTATCTGTGACTGGGTTATAAATTAAAAGTTGAATTTTGCAACATATAAAAAACACTGTTAATCTTAAGATTCAGTAGGCCTTGTGATTTTTTTTTCTTGAAATGTACCTATTTCAGATTCAAATTAGATTATGCTAAACTCATAAAATGGGTTGGAAAACAATGTTCTTGCTATACTGATTGCCTGGAAAAATTTTTTAAAAATTGGAACTATATTATAAAGACATTTGGGGATATAGCTTTCTGTTTTGTATTAAAAATTTAATTCGTTTTTAAATTTATGTAATCAATAAAAGACTATTAACATTTTATTTCATTTCTTCTGGAGTCACCTTTAGTACTTTGAAAAGAATATTTTTTTTCACTTCATATAACTTTTCAGAAATATACACAAACAGTAATGTATAATAATGTCCCCTTATTATACGTGTAAACATTTCACTTGTGGCAGTAATATCCCATTTTGATTTCTATTATGACTTACTAGTGCCTTCTTGCTTTTGCTGGGGCACTCCCTTACTCCCATTTGCACTCATGTACTTCCTTTATTGCTCTTGGTCTTCCTTTTTTTCTCTCCTTCATCTCCCTCTTTTTTTCAGTGAACTGTATTTTCTGGCCTGGGTGCTTCCTATTTATCTTTGTTTTTTACTTTACTAGTGTATATTCTTGCCATTGTTACTTTTCTTCAAATTTTTACATCCATTTTATCCATCAATTATTAATTTGAAGGTCTAGTTTATTAATTTTGTATTCTTCCTTTCTAACATAAGCATTTAAATTAAAAATCCCTTTGAGATGCTCTCCTAGGTATTTTTCACTAGTACAGATAATAGATTACATTTATTAATATTTAGTGTAAGTATCTCTTTATTTTTCAGGATAAGTCTCTGTTTTCTGAACTGTTCTTATTATTTTCATTTCAAATTGAATGAAATAATTTTTCTGTAATTTACTGACTATAATTGAACGGGGTAAATAATTGATCAGGATAACAAAAATACTTTGAAATTTCAATTGATTTATGAGTTAAAAAGAGACTATTTTTACCTTTATCAATTATTTAATTTTATGTAATTTTTTTTGTTTTGTTTTACTTGATCCCGATTAGCAGTTTTATCAGCCCATCAGTTTCTTCATTAGAGTTCTTGGAATTTTTGTTTAGTGATTTTATGTTTTTCTTTTTGTTGTTTTATTTCAACAGAGATTTGGGGACTAGGTGGTGTTTAGTTACATTAATAAGTTCTTTAGCATTGATTTCTGAGATTTAGATGCACCCATCACCTGAGCAGTGTATATTGTTCCCAATGTGTAGTCTTTCATCTCTTACTCACCTCCCACCCTTTCCCCCATGTCCCCAAAGTCCATTGCATCATTCTTATGCCTTTGAATCCCCATAGCTTAGCTTCCACTTATGAATGAGAATATAGTATGTTTGGTTTTTCATTCTTCAGTTACTTAACTTAGAATAATGGTCTCCAGTTCCTTCCAGTTTGATGTAAATGCCATTGTTTTATTCCTTTTTATGGCTGAGTACTATTACATGGTGTGTGTGTGTGTGTGTGTGTGTGTGTGTGTGTGTGTATTTTAGGACTATTATTCAGTTCCTACAATTGCAGAATTATATCTTCTGGAGAAACTTAATCTTTTATTGTTGTTATTGACCCAGCTTATCCCTATTAATTTTTGCATTAAAGATGATTTTTATATTAAAATTAAAATAACAGCATTTTTCTTTGATATGTACTTATTATCAGCCTTTCCATCTTATTATTTTCAGTCCTTGTCCTCATGATTTAGGTATGCCCTTTAAACAAAAAGAGAGAGAGAAATATGTTTTTATTTTCTTGTCAATTTCTATGTATTGGTTGAAGATTATATTCATTTATATTTTTTCTAATTACTGATAAATTTAAATGTTACTCTTTTCATTATATGTACCTATTATCCATCCTATTATTTGTCTTCTGTCTTGCATTTATATGAATTGATTATTTTTTTCTCTTTCATTTACTTTTCTAAATATAATTTTGGTTTGTTCAATTATACTGCTGAGAAGTATTGTATGCTTGTTTTTGTGTAGACATATATTTTCATATTCTTTGTAAACATGTAAGAGTAGAATTGTTAAGTCATATAGTAAGTCCATGTTTACTTGTATAAGGAATTTCCATACTCTTTTTGAAAGTACTCATATTTTATATTTTATTTTATAGTAACAATATAGGAGAGTTTCATTTGTTCTACATCTATACCAACACTTAATATTATCAGTCTTTTTAAACCATTCACAATTGATGAATAGAGGGATTTATTTTACTTTCATTTGTAGTTTACTGAGAACTAATAATACCGGACACCTTTTCATGTGTTTATTGCTTCATATAGGAATATTTTAACAAAACTGATTTGTTGACCATTCAGATTGCACAACTTACAGTTTGATACTAAAATATACTAAATCACAGAAAGCATGTTACAACTGCAAACCTATTTCTTCCCCTTGTCATCATGTTTAATTGAGATATAATCAACATACCATAAAATTCATCCTTATATCATATCTTAAAATCAGATAGTAGTATCTTAAAATCAGATAATAGTAGTTTTTCTATAGTTGGTCTCATTTTTCAAAGTTCTTTTGACTCATCTAAATGTATTACATTCCTTTAT